ATTGTCTCCCATACCCACTTTTCTGTTGTCCATCCCCCTGGGGAGAGGGGTTTAGGTAGATCCTTATGATTGCTTCCTTCTATCTACCCCCACCTTCCCCTTCCCCTCCTGGTATGGCTACTCTCAATATTGGTCCTGGATTTCCTGTGTTTCCAGCTCTTATCTGTATCGGTGTGCATGCTCTGGTCTAGCCAGATTTGTAAGGTAGAATTGGGGTCATGATAGTGGGGGAGAGGAAACATCAAAGAACTAGAGGAAAGTTACATATTTCATCAGTGCTATACTGCACTCTGACTGGCTTGTCTCTTCTACGTGACCCTTCTGTAAGGTGATGTCCAGTTGCCTATAGATGGGCTTTGGGCCTCCACTCCATACTACCCCTCATCACAATGATATCATTTTTGTTATGGGTCTTTGATGCCTGATACCTGATCCTATGAACACATTGTGATCACACAGGTTGGTGTACTTCTTCCATGTGGGCTTTGTTGCTTCTTAGCTGGATGGCCACTTGTTTATCTTCAAGCCTTTAAGACCCCCCAGGTGCTATATTTTTTGATAACCGGGCCCCATCAGCTTTCTTCGCCACATTTGCTTATGCACCCACTTTGTCTTTTGCTATCATGTAAGGAAGGTGAGCATTATGGAATTCCAGATTAATAGAACAAAGTGTTCTTGCATTAAGGGAGTACTTGAATAGAGGCATCAGGATGATTTTTATCTTACTTTTCCTCACTTAAAATTATAGACACTTTTTCTGTACTAATATAGCTATCATTTTTAATGTCAGTATAGTATTTTCTCTGATGCATAGATAGATGTGCCATAACATTGTTGTCCAATATATGGAAAGTTTCAGTATTTTGATTTTTATTAAAATGCACTGAACATCATTCTACATACACATGTTGGACATTTGGCAATTCCACTTGGATAAACCCGTGAAAGTAGAATTACTTGGTCAAAGAGTTTATTAAAATTTTAGGCATTTTTTATTTTTATTTTTCCTAGGGGGGATGGCTAAATATTTTCAAATTGTGTAGCACTAGTCATACATGTAAGGAACCCTGCTGGAGCTGTCTGGTACATGTTAGGCTGTTAACTATAGGGTAAGTGGCTTAAACCTACCATTCTCTCCATGGGAGAAAGATGAATCTCTCTGCTTCCATAACAATTAATAGCCACAGAAACCTTATATAGACTTGCTATGAGTCGGAATCAGTTCCATAGCAGGGGATTGGGTTGGGTTTATTCATGCATGCAGAGAGGACACTGGTGATTCAGTGGTAGAATGTTTGCCTTCCATATGCCATGTTGAATACCTGGGTTCAATTCCTTGTCAATGTACAACCAGCAGTGGTCTGTGGGTAGAGGCTTGTTTGTCACTATTATGCTGAACAGATATGTGCTGAGTGTCCAGACTGAGACAGACTAGGAAGAGAGGACTGACAATTTACTTCCCAAAATATCCACTCATGAAACACTGTCTTGTGCATGGGGTCCTCATGAGTGTAGGGCCGACTCAATGACAGCAAGCAACTACAACATTCTTGCATATTGCTACAATACCCTATGTACTCGAGTGTAAGCTGAGCTTTACAGCACACTTTTTATGCAAGTTTTTTGTGGTAAAATTAGGTGCCTCAATTAATATTTGAGTCAGCTTATACTTGAGTATATATGGTACTTAGAAAATTCAAGGACTGTAGTACCACACATCAGTGTAAGTAGTTCCAAATAGAAATAGTTTTCTTTGAAGTATGAACCAAGACTAACTAGCCTCTCTACTCCCCTAAAAATTTTGCTGTACATGACTAGTCTGTTTTAGAATTCTAGTCAGATTCTTTCTTTGGTGTAGGAAGTATCAGTGCCATCTTTTTGAAGTTTATGCCAAATTAAATATTTCAGCTCTTATTAACTTAGATGGTTTTGAAAACACAGACCTTCTGGTTAGCAGCTGAAGAACACTTAATGTTCCACCATGGTTCCTTTTAGATAGTATTCCCAGGACGAACATTAAAACTATGAATCCTTCAATCCCCACTTTCACTTAGGGGCTACTGTTAACTGCATCTCAGGAGCCCTGGTAGTGCTCCTGTGTACACCAACCACTTAGAACGATGAGGCTGTCTGCTGCCATTAAGATTTACAGTCTAGGAAACTGGTAAAGTCTAAATACACTCTGTGCAGTGGACTTGGCTTGGCTTGGTAGGTTTAATTTGGTTTGGTTTAGTCTGGTCGCTGCATCACTCAGCTCTGCTTTGTGCCTCCATCTCACTGCATTGTCAGACTTCAAATAAGAAAGAAAAAGAAAGCTCCTTTGGGCTCCCTCAGAATCATGATGATCCCCTTTCCTCATAAGAGATTTGAGATTTTTTTTGACATTTACTTCCTGATAAATGAACTAAAGGCCATTATTAGTGGAATGCAGAGGCTAACTTTTATTTGTTGAACTCGCACATCCTCCTCCATTTGTGTTTTCACCCCTGTAATGATTTAGTTCTCTCTTTTCTTGCTTTTCAAAGAAAGCACACGGACAGAGATTTCCAACTTAAAAGTGATGTAAAAGAAAAAGTGTAGTAATGTTGTCTTGCCCCTTCCTTCATGAAAATGTATTTTGTATCAAAGCATATAAACTCATTAATTTTTCATTATCAGTAGTAGCTTTCTGGTTGGTCTGACTAACCCATGTAATTAAATGTGGAGAGGACCAGGGCAGGAAAGGTAAAAAAGGCAGAAACAGAATCACACAGCTAGTTGGTAGAGCTGCTGGGGAAAGGTCCCAACATTCTTCTTGTTGAATGAATCACCCACTGTGGGTCAGTGTGAGAGAGCGTTGCTCATCATGTTAAGCCACCTGTGTCAGTTTGTACTCAATGGTAAAAGGAATGAGGTAAATTTCAAACTTTAAGGGACTTTTTAGAACTTATTTGCTTTCCAATCGAAAGATGAAAAATAGTATTTTCAGAGGATGAGAAAGTGAATGAAGCCATTGTCATAGACCCCTATCTATGAAGCAATACTGTGTCTTTTGCCGCAGTCTTGGAAAATGAAGCATAGTTTTAAAATGCCTATAATTAAATATTGTGACTATGGAAGGACCATCCATTTCCCAGCAGGTGAAATAATACAAGAGATTAGAGTACAGGAGACAGCTGTGTCATTTTGGCCTGTTGGAACTAGAATAGAGTTTCCCGATCAGCAGAAATGTTGCTTTAAGAGCACAGTTGCAGCTTGCTCTCTTCTTGGAGATGTAAAGTTGAAGGTAGCTAGACCCCTCTAATATGCAGGCCTGGCTGTGACTCATCTGGCAAGTTGTTAAGGATACACTTGCCGATGCTTCTCCCTTCCCTCATTCACTGGATCATAAGATATAGATACTAAGGCTTCAGAAATGTTTTGGGGAAATTCCATTATCAGTTAATTCCAAGTTTCCACTAACTTTTTGAAGGCCCCTCTCTACTTTGAAATGTGTGAATCTGAGAGCTGGAGAACCTAGGCATTTCAGAGTCCCATCATGCATCAGCTATTAAGTTACATTGTGGTAGAGGCAGAGGAGGACAGAGCATGGCCTTCTTTCTCTGTCATCAGGTGATCTAGTCTCCTTGGTGTCCTTCCTTTCCCCCCTTTGTGTGGCACTTGTTCACATTTCAGGGCTAATTTAATTGCCTCTTTCTAGATCTAATAACAGGCTTTAAATTACATCATAATACAGAAAGGGAATCTAAAAGAGAAGAAAAATACAACAAATACCTTATTTCTTGGAGTTTAAAATATGGTTGTTCGTTTTGCTGATATAATTTCAGATAGTAAAAGCATTGAAAGATAAACTTTTTTCATGAGTTAATATGCCTGAGAATGAAAATTATGCATTGGGAAGAGAGTGAGGAAATGAGCTTCAGTTATTTTTCCCTATTAGAAAATTGCAAATTAAAGAAGCTGTTCACAAGATTATTTTATCCTTGCTAATGGAAATGAACTTTATTTTCCTCCAAGTTTTGTTTCTCTGTCAGTTATTCAGAGATTTAAATATACTACATTGTAACTGTCAATCTCCTCTATCTTCTAACTTTGCATGCGATTACTTTTATGGGAAATTATCAGATTTTTTTTCTTCCTTTACAAACCCCTTTCCCCAACTGCCTTGGCCCTACTCTTCATATAAGTCTCTAATATGGATAATCATTCTGTAAAGTCATTTTCCAGAAGTCTGGGGTCTTGTTGTTCAATATGCTTTGACAAGCTGATTTGCTTAAATTTACTGCTTTGTGCCATTCCCAGGAATTTGAGCTAATTATATAGCCATTTTTTTCAGAGATGTGTGTTAGAAGTCATATGTGCCTAATTCTGAAAATGGCTTTGTACATTAAGGCTCATTTTACCACTGATGCTTAGAGAGGAATTGAGAGACCATTATTTGCCATAATTTAAAAATACAATAACAACATGAAACTCCCTTACACTGCAGGCATATAAGATGCTATGTTGTCAGTCTCTCAATCTTTTGGAATGTTGCAATTTGGCTTGTGTGTTACTGATCAAGATGTCACAGAGAAAATATGTTTTAGGCGTAGAAATCATTGTCCAGCACGCATAGGTAGTAATAGGATAAGTACTTCCAATTGGATTTTCATAGGAGGGATTGATTTGGGCGCAGTACTGTGTTTGTATAAAATGGTGTCCTTTTGGCACTAGCTGAATATAAATTTCAGCAATTTTTTTTCCTTGCTACAGATTAATGTAATACAGGGAAATTTTCCGTAGCTGGGGGAGCAGTGGTTGGGCATCTGTTAATAGCCTGAAAGTAACTAATGAGGATGTGCAGTTGGAACGATTGATTGAATAGCTGCAGTCCTCTGTGTTTCTTTCTCGCTTGCTCTCTCTGCAAGCTGTAGCGAGGGAGGGGGAAGAGGAAGCCGAGAGAGGGAGGGAGGAGAGAAAAAACGCTTTCTCTTAAGTGGAAGTAGCACGGATCCCAGGGGCTAGGAGGCCAGAAATGGAAGTTTAAACTGAATCTATCTTTTAAAGGGAGAACAGCGGGAATCAAAATGTCAGTCTCCGGAGTCACAGTTTACTCCTTTTTCTTAAAGATCTGGAAGAGAACAGAGAATACTTTTTATAGGATGTGTTTTTTTATTGGGTTTTTTTTAATCCTTGTCCATGTTGAGATTATCTCATGTTGTCTGAGAAGCTGGATTCCTATATCTCTGTGAGTTGAAGTGGAGATGGGAAGCAGTTGTGATAAAGGTATAATATGTATCTATCTGTCATCTGTGAGCGCGCGCGCATGTGTGTTTATGTATGTGTGTGTATCACTCTATGCAAAATATACTCAGCTGTAACCTTAATATATATAGTAGTTATATTGAATAAGACCACATCATCTGCAAAATCCAAAGCTTGGTAGGTCAATTTGAACAGATTGAGGATTCCAGAGTGAGATCTAAGTAAGGTCATCTTGCCAGAACCAAGGAGAAGCTGATCTATTTTTATATCGGCATAGGCATATATGTGATTTTATCCTGGCAGCCACTCTGTCTTCTCGTGGGCCGTTGGCTGCAGTCTGGTGAATCATCTTAACTGCACAAAACCGAACTTTGACCTTTTTGTAAACACCCATCAGATCATGGAGGACACTCTGCTGTGTTCTGTTCACAGGAATATCAGAAATCTTGTTTGATTCTGTTAACTCCTACATTGCTGGCAAATAGAGTAGTAGTTCATACCCAGTGAGGTTCAAATATTAAATTAACTTTTAAATAGTAAGCATAGCTCAGAAGAAATTCTTTTTTTTTTAATTTGCACAGGTACAAAAAGATATAAGCTGTCACAGGAAAACAGGCTCCTCTTGTGATCTAATCTCCCCAGGGTCTTGCTAGTTCAGATACCACAAAGAAAAAGTGACAAATTATATGGAGATAAGAATATGATATATACTATAAGCAAACTCACTTTTGTGAGGGAAAAACAAAACTGTCCCTTTACAACTCAGTGAAAGATTCGAAATTCCAAGTTCCTAATGATGCTTCTTATTTCCTTGTCCCTTTCAGAGGTGCCACCAGAAAGGTCCCCCCGCAGACGGAGTATCTCAGGGACCAGTACATCAGAGAAACCCAACTCCATGGACACTGCAAATACCTCACCCTTCAAAGTACCAGTAAGTACATGCCTCTCCTTTTGATTCGAATATCTAACTTTCCCCCTTTTTTCTTAAAGTCAAAGGCAGCTATTAAGAAATCAAAACTAGCGACTCCTCAAGAATTTGTAATACTGAGAGCACAGCCACCCATATGGGTAGATTAACTGTGGTAATATTTGCTGCTTCCAGTTAAAAGTTATAAAGTTTTACAAAGTATTCTTTTTGTTTGTGAGGCATTTCCAAAACATATAACTGAATAGATGAAATTTAAATTATTCCAAAAGAAAAAAAAAAGAGTGTAAATCTTTGCAGAATGTTCCTTTATCAAGTCACTCACTTGGTAAACAGCTATATCAGTCCTGTAAAAAAGGTGGAGGGACCATTGTTTTTAGAGGGAGGGGGAATTTGATTTGTGTGTGTGTGTGTGGTAACATTCCAGAGCTGAGACAGAGCAGTTGTAGAGCATGTCATCAGAGAATTCGAAGTGAGCCCTCCTCTTGAGACCTGGTGTAAACCATGTTTTAGATAAAAATCTAAGTACTTAAGAAATAGTCTGTAAGACAGTAAGTAACTCATTAAATTGATCAGGCAGCACTTCGGATTAGTATTAACGCAGCAGAATGCTAAGGGGAAAAGGCTGTAGGTGATCAATTCAGCAGACAGTTACAGGCCTGGTTTGGGCTTTTTAAAAAATATCACTGACTAACTCATATTCACATCATCTTTTTTCTTAGTTTCATTGGCAAGAATTATACATACTTTCTAGTCCTATAACTTTATTAGAGTTGTTTTTGCAGTTGAAAATAATTATTTCCATGAAGTTGGTAATTATCCTAGGTACCACTGAATCACTTTAAAGTAGAAATCAACTTTTATCAATATAAAAAGGGTTTTCTTGCTTTTAATTCATACGAATCCATAATGATGTATATTCTTTCTGTAGTGAAGTGACTTCTTTTGTGTTATGATCTTTTCAGTGGATCTGTTACTGGGTGAGATATAAACTGGTGTTCATTTATGAGTTAGTCCAGTATGGGTGTGTTATTTTTGGATTAATCATGAGCAGCAGGAGGTCCTGTGATTATGTTTTAAAGATCACGAGTGAATGGTAGGTTAATGTTCTGACCAAATTAAGACAGCAATTTTTAAATCTCAGCTGTAGGTGCTGTTGTATTAAATATATATTTTTGTCATTAAAAAAGACTAGCCTTCTGCAATATGATAACATTGGAATACTTCCTATATTAGAATATAAAGTTCATGGTTCAGCTTTTAAAATTTGTATTAAGAGTCACTAAAAAAAAAAGAGTCACAATCCTCATTTATATTTACTAAGTTGACAGCTAATTTAAGGCAAATATTAGTTATAAGACCAATTCTTTTTAAGTAAAAGTAGTAAACCAATGATGCTTATTCATAACAGCAAGTTACAAACCACTTACTGAGTTGTCAGTCTTCTGACAACCTCAGCCACCACATACATAGAAACAATGAGAAAAGGGGTCACAAAGCCCATGCTCTGAGCTCCCTACAACTTAACCATTCACAGGCCTTCACCCAGACAGCTGTCTGAAAAGGACCTTCAAGGAATGAGGTGCTTCACCAATCAAATGTTTCTGGATAACAAGTTTTATGTACCTCATGTCTCTTTATGACTTTAAATATTCTATAGTTATTACATAACACCCATTATTATCAATGTCCATTACTGTACTATATATCATTCTGTAAACAGTAGTACCCTTAAGGGCTATTGATAAATATAGGCTGGTTGACTCTGTCCTAAATGGATTTAGATTATTTTTATGGTTCTTTGTGGCTTTTGTTTTCTGTCTCCTTCCTTTACTCACAAACTTTCTGTTGCAAACAGCCTTATATTTATCAATAGCCCCTAGGGGTACCATTGTTTATAGGATAGTACATAGAAATTGGCATTAATAATAATGACCCTGAATCATTAGGCAAAGTAAGCTTATATTCATGTTAGTACCATTTGAAAAGTAGGAGGAAGGGGGAAGGATGTGTAATATGAGAAATATATCCACTTAGAATAATGGTTTTCAACCTTCCTAATGCCGCGACCCTTTCATACAGTTCCTCATGTTGTGGTGACCCCCCAACCATAAAACTATTTTCGTAGCTGCTTCATAACTGTAATTTTGCTACTGCTATGAATCGGGCAACCTCTGTGAAAGGGTAGTTTGACTTCCAAAGGGGTCGTGACTCACAGGTTGAGAATGGCTGACTTAGAATATTTAAAATATGAACAAGATGTGATGCTCAGAAAACATGTCCAGAAAAAAATCTGGTTTTGATCATTATCATTCCTTGGTAATATTGTATAGACAACTTTTATTATTTTAAAAAATGTCAAGCAAGTCACTATAGTAGTTAGGTGTCTTTGGTGCATTTTAGTTTTTGATTTCTATAAAGTACCAATGGCTTGCATTATTTTGAGATGTGTTGAAAAGAAGTATGTCCAGTTTTGAAATCAACGCAAAGCATTTCTGCATCAATAACTTTCTGAATATGAATAAGCATTACAAAAAGGAACCAAACTTTGAGATATTTAAGGTATTTACACAAATATTCTCAAAAGAAGATCTTTTCCATGTTATATGAAAAAGCAAACATGTTGAAGTGTTAAGGATGGGGGTTCTAGGATCTGGGTGTTATTTCTAAAATGAGATGCCCATTCACCATTCATCAGGTGGACACAAAAAGGGAGTTAGGAGTGGACTTCCCAAAGGGTCTTATTCATCCCTCTTCCATTTTCAGGTTCACTGGGAACAGTTGAAGTAGATTTAGCATCCCCTGGCTGAAGTTATTAACAGTGACACTCTTACAGAATGCTTACTTTGGGCAAAGTATTTATTATTCACCAATTGTTGACACTGTTACTGGTCTAGGGGAAACAGAAATGAACACAGTAGAATTGTTTACCTCCAGAGACACAAAAATGACCAGATCTATAAAAAGATTTTAAGTGTTGTGACACACATTATTAACAGCACACTGTGTAACCCAAGGCTTTTCCAAGGAGCCAGTATCTGAACTGAAGTTTCAAAGACTGAAGTAAAATTGACAGGCGAAGAAGAGAATTCCAAGCTGAGGGAATCGCATTTTGAAAGTCACATATCAAAAGACGACTGATAATTTGGGAGCATGTAGAAAGGATTCAGTGAGGCAGGAATCAAAGAGTGTGTGAGCAAAATTGGTTAAGAGGGTGGAAAAACTAGAAACAGGTTGTTTGTCAAACTTTAACTAAATTTGGCTAATGAGAGATGTGACCATTAAAATATTAGAGTTGTTTTTTTTTTTCAAAAGCTAAACCATGTTGGATGCATTCAGAGAACTACTATTTAATTCTTCCCATAAATGACTCCTTTTTCCCTTTGCTACCGTTACCCTAATTCAGGAGTTTCTGTGTGGTACAAATGGCTAATAAGCAGCCCAGCAGCCAGCTAGCTATTCGTTCAGCTGATATACTGTTGTTATTTGTAGGGTAGTGGTTAGCCTTAGGAGAACCCAGTGAGGTTACACTCATAGCTTGCTGGCTGATGATGGGCAAGACAGAAAGGAACCCAAGGCAAAGCAAGGAGGCCTATTTTGTCTTAATGCACACATACATACACAAACAAAACAATGTGTACCTTTAAGAACTTAAAAATAGACAATTAGCATAACAGGATGTTCATGTACATACTTAGTTTTCCACCTTTATACAGGTGATAGCAAAATCAATTAGATTAAAGATAAGAACATGAGAAATCAGGGGAAGCAGAGGTATGTGGCCAATGACCCCATAGGCTAATGCAAGGTCTTGACTTTTAGGAGTGATTAAGTATACTTCTGCTTTTATGTAATCTTAGCCATAAGGGGAAAAGGCAGTGATCTGCAGGCTAGTTTTTTCTGTCCTACTTCCATCCTCATGATTCTTCACACATACTTTCATTCGAGTAGGAGTTATTCATTTGTAGATCTATGGTCCTCTGACAGTGGATATGTGTTCTAACCATCTTTGTACCAGCCTCTTGCTTCATTGGGTATCCCGCCTATGGTAACTACTCAACAAATTTGTGGAATGGTTAAAATTTGCATGAATTATCATCAGATGGCCTGAATTGAATGAGTGTAGTGCATACACTTACTCCCTTGGTATTACTGATAATGTCTCAAACCCCATGGAATACTAAACCATTTAATAACTGCTACATATTTTGGAATAAATCAGTGTTACCTGTGCAAAATTATTAGCTTTTTATGCTCAACAAAGGTTTGATTTTTGGAGTCCAGGTCTATTGTATTTTATGTATATAGTGTATACTTTTCTATATATATTGGGAATAAGGATTAAGTGGAACTTTTATTTGTTATTTCAGTGGTTCTTTTTTGGAGCTCTTTAGGTATTAGACATAAGTCATTTGAATAGCTTTTGCTTCTTTTAAAGATTATTTCTCATTTTATCTTTAACATCCTTCAGAGCTTTTTGCCTGTGTTAGATCTGTGTTTTCCTTTAAATATAATTGTGTGATTTATATATTGTTAAAAATGACACTTAGCTGATATTACAGGGATGATTAAGGACTGAATACACTAATGAAAAGTTATTTAGGTATATAAGCTTAGCTCAGAAAAAGAAAATTATCATGTCTTGTAATTGTGTGTATTTGTTTTACAATGCTTATTGGAATGAGCTTCATTCTTTAATATTCTATTTATAAAATGACTATTGATATTTATGAATTTTGCATCACTTCTTACACGATACCATCAATTTGGCACTGGCTAAGCAAGAGCTGCTTGTGTTCCGGGCCAGGTGCTCGGCTTAGTGTTCTCATTTCCATAACACAATGGTCTGATTTGGCCCACCATATGAATATAACACAATACAGTTGCAGCTGCTTCGTTTGTATTAGCTTTGAGCTTGGCTCTGAAAGAATTCAGGCACCAAAGTATATGCCAAGACAACCAGAAAGCATAGTTGAACGGAGGCCGTGGTTGAAGATTCCTCTGGT